CCCCAAAACCCCAAAACCCCAAAACCCCAAAACCCCAAAACCCCTCATAGTTAAAGCTTAATTGAATTTCAAATCAGATCTTTTACGAGAAATTACATTGAGTGAGAATGGCTGGCTATATTTTTAGTAACCTCCATTAGAAGGGATGGGACACTCTCTAAGTTTTCAAATCCTTTTGTTGCCTCAACATCTTTGAAATTCTTGATGATATAGTTCATACAGAATTTTTTGAGCTCTAATGCTGAATAGCGATGACCATCAATTAAAAGAGCTACTACATTATCATTGTCAACGCTGTGAATTAGAGTATTCTCGCACAAAGATTTTAGGTTTTCTAGTCCGTAAGCATCTGCCAATCCTAAGACTTCAAGAGCCACTGTAGGGTTGAAATCCTCAATTCAACCAGTGTATAAATATTCTATCATGTGCAAGTAAGATGAATAAGACCAATCTTTAATCTCAATAGTTGTCTGAGTAGTTTCTTTCATTCCGCTAGTGAACATTGCTTTGAAGTGTTCTCATTGTGCAACAAGAATAGCCTTATGAGCATAGATTTCCTTCTCTTCAACCTGAAATATTACATCTGAGAAGGTTTCTTGATTAATTATCTTCCTCATATTTTCAATTAAGCTACTGGTGGCTTCTTGGGTGATTTCATTTACCTCCATCTTTCCAATGTCTAAAACACAGATATCATTTAGCCATTTTCATCCATCAAATCCTCCAAAGATGAATAGTTGTTTAGTGCCTATCACACAGGCAGTATGTCTTTGCCTCCCAACGGGAGATTTTTCAATCTCACTTGGGTGGCTCCATTTCATTGTATTTGTGTTTAAAACATATAGATCATTTGAAGGGATGATTTTCTTTTCAGACTTTCCTCTACCATCATATCCCCCAAAGAGATACATCTTGTTTCCAATAAGGCTTGCTGTGTGACCTCTGAGTCCTTTAGGAGGACTTCCAGTAATTGTGGGCTCAGTCCATTCAAGAGTCTCTGTATCAAAAATATGAAGATCTTTTAGATGCTTATTTCCAGAATGCCCTCCAAATAAAAAGAGCTTAGTTCCAACTACGGTCATTGTGTGAGCATTCCTTGCCATTGGGGATTGGCCACCAACATCTGGCTGGATCCATGAGATTGTATCAAGATCTAGTACATCCATGTCATTGAAGCATCTCTCTCCATCATAGCCGCCAAACATATAGAGCTTTCTTCCAACTCTACTCATCGTATGACATGCTCTTCCAGATGGACGATTACCACTAAGTTTAGGTTTGGCCCAGGTATAAGTAGTGGTATTAAATACATAAAGATCATCTAGCCAATCAAGTCCGTCATGACCACCATGGAAATAGATACTCTCACTCACAACAGCTGTAGTGTGGTTGTTCCTTCAAGCGGGGATGTTCCCTTCAGCTTCTGGTTGAGACCATAGAAGATTTCCGATGTCAAGAATATAGAGATCATTCAAAGCTTGCTTTCCATTCCAACCACCAAATATATATAGGTTGGATCCAACCTTGTCTCACGAGTGAGCAGCCCTATCACCTATTGCTCATTATTTATGCATTGGCTTACTTGGGGGATGATTTTTAAGATTGCTCGATAAATTGTACCAGGCCATATTGTCCAAAAAGTATATAATTAATTGTTTTGAATATATTTTCAGCTTTTTCTTCTTCAAGAGGGGTTTTGGGGTTTTGGGGTTTTGGGGTTTTGGGG